AGGTGATAAATTGTATGATCTGGGTTTCATTTCCAAATTGATGAAAAAGTTAAATATAAAGCTATTTAGAGTTTACAAATGTGACTGAGGCCACAATCCAGATCCCACGTATACCCCGTCACTGCAGGCAGGACAAAATGGAATTCCTGTTTTCACGGAAATGCCAAGTTGTTTTATGGGCCAGCCAGGTGCTGTCTTGCAGAAGAACTAGATAGTTTCTCCAGAAGGCAACAACATTACCTGTATAACCACTACAACACATTCTAAGTTAAAGCAAAACATCTTCTGTATAAATGGCTACAGGAAATATTCAAACCTCTTGGACTGCCTGCTCCGGGACTAGGCTGGCACTGAGCCCTACGCCTGGGTCTGTGAGATAAGCCGCACTCAGATTCACCTTGCACGGCCAGGTTAATGCCCAGGGCTTTGTGTGCACCTTGTTATTAATGCAAATAGTAACAGGCGTAGGAGACAATATTTTCATTATTAAATAAAGGAGACATTATATTATCTGAGGAGGAATATGGTGGAGTCTTATAATTACCCATCATGCGGCAGCTCCAAAAGTCATTGTCATAAGCTACCTGCATAGATTCTGAGCCATGCTTGGGCCATAATGTATCATTAATGCCAATAGGTTGACCACAGAAGGCTGTATAAGCCACCTAGAGACTTAAAGGAATGCATCCTAATAGAACAGCCTTGTCTTTGTCAGGAATCTCCTGGTTGTGAGTAATACAAACCCACTTATCTTAGAGGAAAATTTAGTATAAAGTTGAAGTGAGAGAAGCAGCTCACATGTCAATGGCAGAAAATGCCTTGTATGCAGAAAAGTTCTAGAAACTGAGCTATCACCCTAGAAATAAGGGACCATCAATGTTTCTCCCTACTGCTCACAATTAATCTCCTTCACTTTTTGGCTTTTCTCTACAGACTGACATTCTCTGCTGATTTATTTATAAACAGAGCCCCCAAAAGGCCTCTCCAGTGTAGCTTTCTATCACCTCCTGGTTCAAGTGGCCAGTCCTCAGGATTCCAATTCTGCATGCCCAGGAGGGAGCAAATACAATTAGCCCATGAATTAGACATGATGGACCATGAGCTAGCACTGAAGAACTCATGTATTATCAACACAGGTCCTCAGGAGCTTGACTTGAGCAAAATTCCCAAAGGAAACAACTCCTGGGTATTAAATGGCCAAGTTTCTTGTCACTGTATCTCCAGTGTGAAGATGTCCTGATTTTTACCAATACATTGGAAATAATTTGGGCATATGGTACACAGAAGCACCACATTCTGAGTAGGTAGGAATGCCATTTCAGCACACTCAACTGTGCCTCTGAAAACTTCTGTAGAGAAAAAGATGAGATTGTGTCATGCATGAATCTGCCCAGGGCCCCCACCCAGGCACCCTCTGTGGACTCATCCACTGTCTACTGTCATCTGGCCTTTCTTGTCTGAGACCCATGAAGTTTCTGTGCCCCCCATCATGGCTAAGCTTTCCTGTCCTAGCTATACCAGGCCTCAAGCTAGAAAGAAAGAGAGGGACTATAATAAAGGGATTCAAGACAATAAATATTCCTTCTGCAACATTCCAATGCCTGTCATTCAAACATTCTTGGTTTCTAAGCAATAAAAAAAACCTCCCAAACCATTTAGAGGAAACAGACAAAATTATATCAGAGGCTTAAGTTTTTATAAATTATACTAATAATTAATCTTAATGACTCATCTTGATGATTCATCTGAACTGGTGACTTGTTTTTCAATTGTCTGTATTGTACCTAATTAGAATTGTCTTATTGGTTATTTTTTATTGAAATGGAATTTGATGTGATTCCTTTAAAAAGTGGATTTACATGCATCGATATAGAAATTGGAAGCTTTGTATATGGTGTTTTGTCAGATCCAGAATTTGTTAGTGTTTTAGTCCTAGAATTTAATTAGAAAATTAATGAATGATTAAGAAAAGGATGTGACCCAGTTGTGGGTCTTGTGAATTAAGTCTGTTACTATTCTTTGAATAATTATATTGTTTAAGATTTCCCACTGTTCTGATGTTAGCTGGTTTCAGGTTAAAGGTTTAAAATACAATGGATTTTAAGTACTATGAAAATAAAAAAATAATTAAAAGGATTACCCAATAATTCAGTAATTTAGAATTTGATCATTATTTTAATGCCATTTGATAGTATATTTTATATAATTCAATCAATAGTTATTGAACACATACTACTGACTAGCCAAAAAATTATAGGGGTTAGAAAGATAGGAGGAGGGGCCTCCCCGGTGGCGCAGCGGTTGAGCGCTGGGTTGCAAAGCTGCCCGCAGCCTCTGTAGCGCCAGTTCGATCCCAGGCTGCTCCCCTGCCGCTGGGCGAGGGTCCCACATGGCGCGCAGACCTCTCCTGCCGCCCGCTGCTCCCCTCAGCAGTGTGCTTCAGTCCTTCTGCCTGCTCTGCTCCCCGCTCTGGCTCTGGTGTATTCTCTCACCCTCCCGCGCTTCTGACTGTACCCGGTGCTTGTATAAATAAATAAATAAATATTTAAAAAAAAAAAAAAAAAAAGATAGGAGGAAATTACAAATTCTGCATCTTACCCCAAACATCCCTAAGTCCACATACCAGGACAGATGGAGAGAAAATAAGTAACATGCAAGAGAAACTGCAGTGCATATAAAAAGAAAAAAATGGAATATTGGAGGTATATGGAAAGAGGAATTAATTCTAGCTTAAGGAACACCTGGGGGGGGGTGAATTTGAACTAGATTCTAGATTTGAGGCAGGTCTTCTAGTTATTCAATATCCTCAGCGACAGTTTTTAGGATCACCACATAAAGTATGATACTCACTTCAGAAAATACAGAATAAATCTTGTTACATTGATTTTCAACATGAGGGTCATACCGGAATTATCTAAAGGATCTTGTCTGGTGTGTGTGTTTGTAAATATAGGGACCCAGTTAATACTTGCTCACCATCTGTGCCCAAGCTATTCATCATTGAGACTTGGGTGGGTCTGGGGCATACCTCCTCCCCGACTCACACACATAGAAAGCAAGACAAAATTTGATGCCTTTACAAAATCTTTTGCATAGATACACTATACCATAAATTCAGTTTCTGTAAATGTTATTTTTGGACAGATAATTTAAAGGTTTCTTGGAAACATCTCATCTGACTCTTGAAATCAGAAAATGTATCAATATAGTTGTTTTTAGTTGTTATCTTCTATGTATTTATGCAGTTCAGTCTTTTCTAGTACTCAGTGGTGTTAAAAAATAAAATAGCTATCTAGATGGATAGAAACTGACCTGAATAACTTAATGCTAGTTCTGCTTCGGCAGGGTCAGAGTTTGAAGAGTGCTGTGATCAGGTGATTCACGAAGCCATAGTTAAATGTTTCACTGAGCCTCACCCCAACTATACCCATCAATCACAGGTTCAGGTAGAAATCCCCAGGCATCAGCCATCCGCGGCCCTAATGTGTAGGGCAGCATTGAGCCCTCTGAGACTTTACAATTTCAGTATAAAGTCTCTGTAACTCCTGCTATTGACTGGTCTCCCACCTCAGTTTTTTAACTTGGATTTATTTCTTTGGAGTGCCCTAATCATAGCCTCACAAGACCAGGAATGGCCCATTTTAGGTCCTTTCTCTTTGTCAATGTGCAGGGCAGAACTGACTCCTTCAATTTCAGTCGTGGTGCTGATGATCGTTCAGATAAGCTAATGATGTTGGCAGATTAATATTTCTTAGATAATTTGCAAGTGTTGTAGAATCTTTTCATTAGAGACATTAGTTTGCATCTTTTCATTAGAGAAATTTATTTACATTAGTTTAAATAAAGCCAAAAATCTTTATTTAAAAACCTAATAAATGTGAGAGACCAGTCCTCAACACAATGCAGCCAAAGCAACTTGCATGATGGAAGAGTTTAACATTGCCCAACTACTAGGGATGTCCAGGCAAATAAAGGGGCTTCATCTCCCTGCAATGGCTCCCTCAGCTTCTCTGTTTCAGCTACAGACAGGAATCAATTTCTCCCTCTGTGCCACGGCACAAAGGCCACACTTGGACGATGTAAACAAAATTTCTCTTTTTAACTGGAACAGCCATCAAACACAATTAATTATTCATTAAGTGCTAATATTTTATGAAGCCATGTGAGAGGCATTAATTAGTATAATAAAAGAGGATATATTGTTTTGTAAAAGCAGGAAGCTGAGTTCTGAAGAGATAACCCTGGAGAATAGAATGAATAACTTTCCTTGACAAAATAACTGGCTGGCTGCTGAGAAGAGTTGAATGGGCCTTCTACGGAGACCCAGCTCTGTCTCCCCCAGAGTGCCCTCAAATCACTGTTGAGCACAACGGTGTGAGAAGCAGAAGAGGAATTTAGGAGTCAGCTGATGGATGCAGCTCTTGAAAATAAGAATACTTGAGTCAAATGTAAGAATTTGGCAATAGTGAATATTATATGTTATATACCTTGGGAGAGATTAACTGCTATTAAAGTGCGTGATCCAAAATACAATGGATTTCCAGGACCTGGGAATCAGGCTTATTTAGACACACATCCATGCCATAGCTCGTGCCCTGATTTAACTTATTACCTTTCCCTGTTAGGTTAAGTATTGCTGAATGCCCCAACTTTGAAAGAAAGATGGTAAAGTTTAACTGCATATACCCTCCTTACATTTTAATTAGGAACCAAAAAGCTTTTATATTAAGGCTAAAATGCTAGAACTTTGGGCAGCAGTCCATTGGAGAGAAGAGGTGATTTTTCAAATCCTTCCTGAAGCTTCTACACACCAAGCACATAGACTGCCACCGATCTTGTCTACTGCACACCTATCTTTGAGCTGGCAGTTTCTTTGGGGATAAGACCAGTTTTAAAGGAATCTTTTTATTTCCTCCCCTTGATATTGAGAAAATCATATTCTTTCTCCTTGCTTTCATCTCTTCTCTGTTAGAGTAACTGTTCACTCAATTGTTTATTTATTTGCAAATGTTTTATTAGGGGTTCCCACACTGTCTTGTGCAATGTGCTGAGTGCTAAGTCCCAGTTGAACAAAACACCATCTCTGTTCTTAGAGAGTAGAGAAGACAGTGCATTAATATGCTATTGGCATTAAGACAGAGTCTGTTCAGGTTTACACTGGCAGCAAAAGATGTGAGTGGTAAAATTCTTTCTCTCCTACCCGCATCTAGATGAACTGATTCATCTCTGACAAAAAGATATTTCTCCTACTGTGTAAAAAGATAGAATATTGTAACCCCAGCAAGAAACTAGCAGTTGTCTTTATTTCAAGTGGGAAAGAGCTATTTGGGAAAATTATGTTCTAACTCAAAGTCTTCAGGTTAACCACAGAAGTATGACAAGAGTTGTGAAACTCTCAACCTAAAGATAAACCAGAAAAAAAAAATGTTAGCGAACAGACCATAATGGAAATGCACATTAAATAATCCAGGACCTACACCTTTTATAAGTCACTTTTTGGAAAACAAAATATAATCTTTAACATATCTTTATACATCTACACATACACACACACACACACATACAACATACACATTAATGGAGGAAGTCGTCTTCTATTCCTAGTTTCTTGCATATAGTAGATGGTCTAGAAAGATTCTTTGAATTCTAATGCTAGAAAGCAAATATCATGATGTCAGTTGTAAGAATTTACTTTCTCTGTAACACAGCTGTCTTTATTCTCTTTTGACTTCAGGAAATTTGATACTGTTTTGATCTTTCTAAGTTTTTGGTAAGGGTTATAATTTAGATAATTTCCTAAATTCCTTTCAGTGGTTCAGAAGATTGGTATTAGGCATTTCCTTTATGCCATGCAATAATCCAGGATCACAATAAATGAGAGAAACTAAGAAGGTACGTTTTAGTGGGGTAAACAGACAATAAAAAATTAAACGAGATCATAATTTCAGGTAGCTATGATGACTATATAAAAATAAAACAATAATATAACAGAGCGTTCTGGGGTGGGGATTATTCTAGATTGTGTGGCTAGGGGAGGTCTTTCCAAAGAAGTGGCATTTGACAAAAAGCCAAAGAAAGGGGAAGGAGTCAGCAGAGTAAATGTCTAGAGATACTTATTTAAAATAAATAAATAAAAGCACAGCCATTCTGAAAAATCAAATCTAACCACATGGAACACACACAGACCAATCAATATGTTCAGGCCAAATATCTGAAACTTTCCCTGATTCTTCTTTTCTTCTACCACCCCTTCATCCAACTAACATCTAGTCCTGTTGATATTACCTACAAAACATCTTAAGTCTTCTCTCTAATGCTCTGCTGAACAATCCACTACCATCTATCACCTAGAAACACTTCCATCCAATATGGCAGCCACTACTCACATAAGGTAACTGATCATTTGAAATGTGTCTCGTCTGGATGCTGTCAGTGTAAAATGCATACCAGATTTCAGAGTCTTAGTAAAAGACTTTGAGAAAAAGTAAAAATATCGTAATATAAAAATAAAATATAAAATAAAAATATCTTAATAAAAAAGCTTGAGAAAAAGTAAAAATACCTTAATAATTTTTATTCTGATTGTATGTTGCAATGATAATATTTTAATATGTTGGGTTAAGTAAAATATGATGTAAATGTTAATCTTACTGATTTTGATTTACCTACCTCTTTATAATCTTCCCCCACCAGACAGTGGCACTTTATCAGAGAAAGAACCTCAATCCACTTCATTCACTGCTGCCATCTCCAGCATTTAAATCAGTACCCGTCTCATAGTGTGTGCTTAAGATCTGTTGAATGAGGAAGTGCACAACCTTGACTTACCACTGCCTTGTAAAACTGCTTCATCCTAGCACCTGGTGCATGCCCAAGATGTCAGTTCTGAGACTCACTTCTAGGCACTTTAGCTTTCTGCTTTCTGAGTGAAAAGCCTCCTGTTGCTCCAGCAGTGCTAATTACAGCACTTCGGATTGGAAATCAAGTGTTTCCTCATACAGGTTTCCAGAGATTTGACCAAAACTTCACTTTTTTATGCAAGGAAAAGTGCATCACATGCCACACAGACTATAATGAATACAATCCCCACAACTGACACATCAGCTGACTCTCCTAGAGGTTAAATAACTCACTCCATGAGTGAAGGTAGGTCTGCATGAAGTCGAACTCCAGGGTTGTTTTTTAATTACTCCGAATTGCCTTGTAAATAATGAATGTGAAGTGAATTGTATGGGTACATGCTGAGAAAGCAAGATGGCAAACTAGGTCAAGGGTCAGAATCAGACACTCTGGATTTCACTGGCAAGACTGGCATAGAAAAACTTCAAGGAACATTGAAATACATTATGTCTCTCTCTCCTCCACACTCCTCTTCCTTTGGCTGCTCCTTCCAACTACACACACCTTGGAATATTACACTTTGAGAATTGCATGCTTGGGAGTGGCAAGTTTAATAAATCACAATGAGAGAGAAAAAAAAAGTACCTCACACTCTTACTTCCTGTATGTGTGGGTGCAAGCTTAGCCTCCTTTTATATTTCCTACTACCAGTCTTCTCCAGGATGGCGTGCTTGATCCCCACGATCTGCATGTAGTTCTTTATAAGCAAGAGGATGTACTTCCTGTTCTTTTATTGTTCTGCTCCCAGTGCCCACACACAAGAGTACTAGATTCTCTAGAATTTGAGCATGAACATGTAGTTTATAACTCAGGCATACAGAATGGATTCATCATCTTTGGTCTATGACACATTCTGATCATTGATTCATGATTGGTCCATTTCTATTATTGATTTAAGTCTTTTTTTTATTTTATGTATTTTTACATCATTTTTCATTTTTGCACAATGTATGCATTTCATTTTGGTTATAGTCCCCCTACAATTCCCACTCCCCTTCTTTTGAACCTACTCAGTAAGCACTTGAGAACTCACCACACAAAACAAAAGGTACAGATGTTCCAAAAAACAACCACGAACTCTTACCTCTTACCTCTTTCCACTCAGTACACAATCATTATGTGCTCCCATGGCCTCTGTCTTACTGTCACATAGTCTTCCGGCATTTCTAAAAAGTACATTTTAAAATTTCTAGTTGTTAATTATTAAAACGATGTCAGGATATGTGCAATCTTTGGGATTATTTTAAGTGAATATTACAATGTCATCAATATCACTGTACATTACTACAGCTCATTTGTTTTGACTATTCTATAAAAGTCTTTATTGTGAATAGACCATGATTTATCAGTTCATTCTCCAACTAGTATTCTAGGTTGTTTCTAGAATTTTATTTTGCTATTTAAAAGTCTTTACTATTGTGAACAACGCAGCTAAAATTCGTGTACATATCTATTGTTGCATACTTGCAGAAGTTTATTTTGGATATATACCTTGGGTGGTAATTGCTCTGTCACAGGCAATATGAATAATTAGATAGAAAACAATGGCAATCTGATTTCCAACATTAATTGCACCAATTTGAACTCTATGTACAACATTGAAGAGATCCTGTGAATGCAGATCCTCTCTAATAGTTGATGTCAGACCTGCTGATTTTGCCAATCAAACTGGTATAAAATGGAATCTAGTTGATTGTCTTTGATCACTAATGATATTGAATATTTCCTTGTATGCTGATTGATCACGTTTTTCATCCTCTATGAAATTTTGATTCATGTTATTTTTTTCTTTCCCAATTTTCTATTGTGTTGTTTGTACTTTTCTATTTGATTTGGAGAAGTCTTCTTACAAAATGAATCAATCTTATACTAATATCAGAAAACCAATCTTCCCTTGGTTAAGAATTCGCCTAACAAAACTTCTTACAGTTTTTCATTCAATTTTTGTATGTCTTTATCCTTTAAGTACACATTTTATAAACTATAACTGATTTTTCTTTTAACTGTTGTCTTAACTAGCCCTTTATAATTTCTGATACAGTGAATCTATTTTTGCTAGCTTATTTTTTGAGTATTTTAAGATTTTATCATTATTATTGTTACGATAATGCTGCTACAGAAAAACACGGTCTTTAATCTGATGCTAATCTTTCATTCGGTAAAATTTGACTTGGACATTCCAGATTTCACTATAATCTGTAAAGATATGGTTTTCCATATCACTCTTCTTTGAAACTCTAAGTCCTTTCAGTCTGTGGTTATTTATTTGTTCATCCATCAACCGATTCATGGAACATTTAACACTCATTTTTCTCAGAAGTCATCCATCTGTTTTTCCTTCCCTTTTGTTTGGGGAGTCTTGTCCCTACACTGTCATTCTTGTGATCTCCATCTCTCTTGGCTTTTTCTTTTTCTCTTTTCTTTGAATTTCTCCTCTTCTTTCTGGAAGATGACCTTAATCTGGTCTTTCAAATCAATCACATGCTCCTTAGCTGTATCCCTTTCCTATCTTCTCCCTCCTGTTCTTTATTTCAACTACTATATATGTCCATTTGGCCTCTTTTTATTTTCATACAACTACATTTTCCCTTATCTGTAATGTTTATTAGGTTAAGTTACAATTTTTGGTCTAATATAATGTTTATGTTTCTTATGGACTCTATAGCCTAATAGCTTTTTCTATTAGTACTTCCCAAAGTACCTTATTATTTGGCACAGGAACTCAATATTCTATGGCTGTACACACAGGTAGTATCGGGAGACCCACTAGGACTGAGGGGTTTTGGGGGATGCAGGACTAAAACCAGGACCCTCCAGGTAAACCATGGTGATTGGTCACCCTACCAGATCACTCTGTCCAGCCAGGAGTCGCAGGACGGGAGAGGGAGATCCTCAAACCCAAGAATATCATAGACAATCACTCCTTGGGTCAAGAGTTCACTTTTTGCCGTCCCAGAGAAAAGCCACATCAGGAGGAAAGTCCTTAGGCTATGATTCGCCAGCCAGGAAATTAGAGCTGGTACTTTAGGTGAGCAACTGCTTTAAGTTGGTTGGGACCTAAGGAATATCTTGGCTCCTAACTCATATAGGGCTTCTGTGCAGCTCTGATTTCCCTCTTGAGTCCACTCAGATCAGAGCTCTGCGGGGGCAGTCATGATTTCCCCAAGGCAGCGGTGAGTGAGAAGCAAGTACAGATTTACTGGAGCTCTTTTCCTATATTATTTTCCCAAGCATGGCTGGCTTTGTGCCTAAGCGACCCACTATTCTCCAGACTCCTTTGTAAATTGTTCTCCAAAATTGTCATTACTGTGGCTTTCTCATAGTTTTCTTCATTTAAGGGTGTCTCATCCTCTATACTACCTCGGTGATCTTAGTGGAAGGAATAGTAAAAAAGTTCAGCATCTTTTATTAACATATTTGTGCGGTTCCTTCTGGTTATTGTAAAATTTTTATTAGAAAACAAAAGTTTCTTGGATATAAGTGAAAGAGGGTGGGAAATGTAAAGCACTACAAAAGAGTTATATTATTATGAACAATAACATGTATTTACATACCAACTTACTGTCGCTTAATTTTTAAAATCTTATATTTATACAGAAAATAGCACTAGAAAAGTTACTGAAACCATTTGAACCACATAATCTCTGACACCCACCTGATTTTTATTACAAGTATTTATTGTTGTTGCCTTACTATTACATTTGGCACATCTAGGTTCTTTTTGGTTCTTTTTTTTCCCAAAATGCATCACTAATCTGTACCTTATTATTCTTTACAGTTTCTTTATTGAAAAGATTTTTCTACGGCAAGGTACAAAAAGGCACTTCAGCGAAAACATTTTAAATTACATTATTTACCAAAAAGATTTTCTTTATACATTACTGGTCTATTGAAATTTTTCTTTTCAATCAAATTCCATTCATTTTTAAATAATGCATGTCAATAGGAACTACCATGAAGAAATAACCATAAGTAAAACTAGTTTTCCTGTCCTCATTTTTTGCTACTCCTTATTCTTCTATTTGTGAAAGTTTGAATCTCTCCTGAGGTTCTCAAGTCCATAATTACTTCTTATGACAGTTCTTTCTTGATGTCCAATTATAAATTATTCAGTTTTGAATAATGCCTTAATTTCAAATGTACCTTTTACTCTTTGTATTTTTTTCCTATATTATTTTATATCTTGCTTTGAGGCTTCTGGATTTGTTTGTTTTCTCATAATAGTTTTTGTTTGTTTTGTTGTTTTTGTTTTGTTTTTGTTTTGTTTTGTTGTTTTCTCATAATAGTTTTCTCTAGAAAGGTGGTGCTATCAGTTGATTCTGTATTTCCCTTATTTTACTCTTATTTCATTCCTGCTTTCTTTCTGTGCATTTTGGGTTCCTTACATCTGAAGTGCACCCTTGTGCCATATCGAGTCTAGTCTTTGGCAAATCCTGGCTCTGTATTAATGCCCTGCAGGCAGCTTTCCTTGACTAAAAGCATTCCTGTTTCCTTGGCCTCCAGGAATTCATGTATTAACTATACACAATATTATCCCTTGCTTTTGTAATTTACTCAATTATTTACATATTTTATAATATTTTATTATAAACCCTTTATGACTGGATTTTTCCTTTTTTGTTAGTATTAGAGCTATATTTACAGAATCTACTTGTGTATTAGTTGCTTTATGTCTGTTTCTCCTTTTGAAATATCTGTATCTCTGCAACAGGGTGGTCCCCAGGAAAAGGGAGCTCCCCCTTTCCTGGGGACCACCCTGTTACATCTCCTGCTAGCATGGAATTTTGTTTGACTAATTGTCTATTGTTGTGTCCCCAAGTTACAGGGCCAGGAAAGGGGCCCTTTACATTCTCTGTAAAGGCTGGTTTATATTTGACTTTGAGATGCAGAAAGCCTTATAGACTTAAAACAACACACGCTGAAACCAAGTCAGTAAACTGTTTACTTAACTAGAGCCCAAAGGTAGGCGTTTCCTGTGCTGGCTAATGCTGGCTAACGGCATGATGCTGTCAGCCAGACCAAGGGTTCTTCCCAGCCTCCTCCTTAGCCATTGAAGGCCACCTGGATTTCAACCTCAGTCATAAGGTATCACAGCGCAAAGAGGGTGGTCACATTCTTTAATTTCAGTGTGCGAAGCAAGAGTAATGTCAAAATAAAAGAAAAAAAATGGGGTATCTACTCACCCTTGTCAGAGTCTCGGAAATTGCCCCACTCCAACAGCCTTCCTGTTCCAGAGGCAAGAACTGTGACATGTGGCTTCTCCTGGGCTAGCTGGGCAGAGGGGAAAGCACTGCTATTATTGATCAAATCTGATTCATCCCATTTTCTTTAAGCAGAAAGAAAGGGAAAGTGCTGGGTAGGCAAGCGACACTGTGCCTTCTCATCTGCTATGTTAAATGAACCACAGTGAAGCTATTTTCCTTCAACCCTTCAAGCTGTTAAGATTCTGCAGGCTTTTTCATTTTTCTCTCGGTATTTTAATCATTAAGCCTTTTCCTTCAGAATTTTTTTCCTTCTGAAAATTGCCTTTTGAAGCATGACTTTCTCCACCAAAAGGTTTCTTTCATTGACTTGTTTACATGCTCGCTTAATTTCTGCATTCTAATCCTTCTTTTCAAAAGCACTGAGACACCACATTTTCAAGAGAAACAAGTTATTTTGCTACTTCTTTTCAGCTCTTCATATTTACTTCTGTTTCTCAACTGTTTTAGAAGCCTCAGAGGTCAAGAGAAAAATATCTTCTGCTCTCTTTACGATTGCCAGCAGCATTTCACAGGTGGTGAACATACTCGACTTGCCCTTCCCCTTTATGGTTAATCAGAGATATGTAGGTTTTAATAAGAAGCAATAGGTTTAATAGCCAAGCAGTCCTGGTAGTATCACAAATGCCCTCTATTAACCTTTTTATATTAAATTCTTTGCATATTTTTTTTCTGGCTGTTGTCAGGAAGTTCCAGAACACAATGTATTTCCCACTTCATTCCATCTTTTCCAACATCTTTCACAGCAGCAAAGGAACTGGGTCTCCATGGTAACACAAGTGTGACAGTTGAGGGTATCTGGGCATAGGTGAGATAACTCTCGGATTCCATGGGGAGAGGAAAAATGAAGTTTTTCCTTCTTGCCTTTTTTTCCTTCCAGCCATGCATTCCCAAAGCTAAAGAGATGCTGACATGTCAGTGTGCAGTGTTAAGTTTCCACTATCATACAGATTTACAGCTCTCAGGGAAAATTCAATTTCACTTTATCTCATTTTTATTTTGTCTTTCCTACAAAAAAAATGAATAGAGACATAAGTTTTTATTTGTAAAATCACTGTCAGAATAGATAGTTCATGTTGGTGTAAAAACGAACATGATTAAGGGATCGGAGATACACTTACTTACTTTTCAGCCACATCTTCAAAATTCTCTACACATCCTGACATCTCTCTTTTTTTTCTTTTTTTTTTTTTTTTTTTTTTTTGAGGTGGCTTTAGTTAACAACACTATATAGCTTTCAGGTGAACTGTTTCTCACCTCAGCAGCTGCATGCATCACCCATGTTCACTAACTAAAGTCCAGTCACCAATCAGCCTCCTCTGCCTAATCCCTGAACCTCTGGAAACTCCCCTTCTGTCTGACATCCTTTCCAGTAGCAGCTAATCCTTCAACCAGCATTTCACATCCAAACTCAAATCAGGTTGGTGCCATCATCCAAAACAGAACAGGTGAGAAAATATACCTCTCCTTATCATGTTTCTTTTGCCTTTTGGTAGTTGAAAATGTTGAAAGCATTGATAATGAAAGCTGAGGTCTATGAATATGAGAAATATAAATGAAGCCCAACTGTCCCCACAGCTGTAGTCGCTATACCACTTCTTACCAAGAAAGCCAACAGGGATGACAGGTCAGGGAAAATAGCCTGGGAATGGTCAAAAAGCTCTTATACTTTGTACTTTGCTGAGAGGAATGTCTAGAAACCCAGGAAAGGAAAATACTTAAAGGTTGCATTTGAGATCCACAATCCCAAAGCAAATTTCTAAGACAAAAAAAAAAAGTTTGCAAAGTGAATAGATTTTCCAGTTGCACTATAAGACAAGGTGCTGTCCAGGTTATAACAATCTATATAAAGAATGTTTGATGCTTCTTGCTCTGTTTTAACCCCAAGCAACCCTAAGAACATCTTATAACCACAATGCACAATTTGGATTTTAAAAGGAGAATCTGTCTTTACTTCCCAAAATGTAGCTGCTACTGAAGTGACCACAAATAAGCATATGAGACTCCTAAAAAAACCAAATGAATTGTGTTCACCTACAACACCCTCTTGAAACATCTCTGCAAGAGAAGCTTAAGGATGAAGCAGTCCTGTGAGTTCTGAAAATCTTAACTCACTTTTTACATTATAGTTTAGGCTAAGAATTAGAGCCTCTTTGGTTTCAACTCACTTAAAACACCCCTCTGGTTCCTAGTTCTTTAGCTAACTGCAGTCACTGCTGGTTCTGGCAGTTCAGTGATAACCTCTCATGTTTTGATATGTAATCAAGAAATAACAACTGAGTTACATTTACCTTGCATTTTGATAAGACACTTGCCCTCAATTATTTTAAGCAAAACCTTGGGGCTACACTATAGCAAGAAAATGCAAGTGTAAGTTATCCTTTTTATTGATAAAATCCTGAAGCCATAGGGTAGTAGGACACTCCCAAATCTGAGCATATCTTTGCAATAATTTGATACTTAACTAAATGGCAAAAGAACACTTGATATTTCAAGGAATTCAGTCTAGTATCCTCTCTACATGACCTTGTGGGGAGAGAAAAGGTGAAGATACACACACACACCCCTCATGATCAAATATTACAGCAACCAAAATGTACTAGTGCCGAGAAATATGAGAAAGCAGTGGTTGGATGTATTTGGCTGGACTAGTTCTAAAAGTATCTAGATTAAGGAAAGACAATCTAACAACCAGTGGTTGCAAAAAAAAAAAAAAAAAAGGAGTATTTGGAATATAACTTCTAAGTTTGTAGTTATACATGCATGGGAGTGTGTAACTAAGATCCTATGCTACTGTAACAGGGGGGTTCCCAGGAAAGGGGGAGGTTCCAGGTTTCCTGCCCCACCCAAGGGAGGATGGAGCTGAGCAGCGAGAGAAGAAGCTGCAGAGGAGACTGAGGAAGGAATGAAGCAGCATGGAGAACCAGAAGGAGACCTGGAGGAGGCACGTGGAGCAGAGACACGTGAAGAAACTGCGCTTGTCTTTTGGTCTGGACTGGGTGGCACAGACGTGGGTGAGAGACCCAAGGGGAGGTGACAATGGCGGTCTTTGTCTTGATTTTGCTCTTTTCCTTCCGGGCTTGTCCGGTTGTTTCTGACCCTTTTCTGTGGGTCCCCACTGGAAGATGCCTTAGACTTGTGGCAGGCTTTGGGGCCTTGTTCTGGGCCAATCCCATTTGGATGGACTTTTACCCACGAGGGGACGGGTAACTCCGGGTGCTTCATTTAGAAACTAGATTCTTTGCCTTTCCTGTCTTGTTTCCTAATTGTATTAAAGTTCCTTCCCACTAAAGTCTCATATGTTTTGTGTTGATGCAGCGGATGGCAGAACCCTATATAGCATAGGCAGGTTTACGGGGTTTGGGCTGCCCCTCTCCCTGCCCTGCAACACTACAAGAAACAAGACGCTACACTTTTAGTTGTTACTTGAAAAGGTGAGTTTGGGGGGCAGGCGAGGGCGCGGGCAGCTGCTGCAGGGCACCCCCGAGCCCCAGGAATTCCTCGCCCTGGAGACAGAGTCCCCGCCTCCCGATTCCTTCCACAGCCCTCAGCACCGTTTCCACGCCCATCACGCTAACCCCGAACGCCACGACGCCACGGTGAAAGCCCCATCACTCTCGCCCGCAACACCTCTCGCGCGTTGCCAGAGCCCGCGCCGCGAGCGCCCCCGGCACCTGCGCCCGCCCGGACCCCGCCAACCCGGCCTGTCTCCAGACCGCACGGCCCAGGTGGCAAGGGCATCGCGAGCCCTGGTTGGCTCAGGCCGAGCTACGTCACTGGCCAGCTCTCCTACGATTGGCTGGCAGAGCGTGCGCCCGCCACAAAAGCCCCGCCCCACCAGACAGTGGGTGGGCGGGCAGCGCTGGCGGCTGGGGCTTCCCCATTGGCTGGCGGCTGGGCGTCACAGGGCATGAAGGCTCTCTATTGGCCGAGCATCAGACCACGGGGTGCACAGTCGCGGCCTGGTAGGCTGAGGCGAGCCCCAGCTTCCTGCTAGGTGCCTCGGCCGCTGTTGCTATGAGGCGTCCGCGGGCCTCCAGTCTGCGGCTCGGTGCTCGCCAGCCCGCTCTCCCCAGCTCCCGCAGCGACGGGCGTGGGAACGGGCAGAGCGGGGCTGCGGCGGGGCCGGGGGGCGGGGCCAGGCCGACGTCGTCAGGCGGCGCCGGCGGGTCCTGCCGCCGCTCCCTCAGGGCCAGGCGCGTGAAGCCGAGCTACTGCTCGTCGTCGACCCAAAGTAAAACCAAAGCCCTCAGGAGGGCGAGGGCGCTCCCTCCGCGGCCCCTCCGATCCTCACCCTCCCCGCCTCAGCCTCAGGCCCGAGGCCGCTGCGTCCCCTCACATCGCTTCCGCCCAACCCCGCCTCGGGCTTCTCGGCGGAACGCGGCTCCCGTCTCGGGCCGCCGCGCGGCGCATGCTCGCTGCGCAGGCCCCGGGATTCGACGGCGCGCGCGGCGCGGGTGGGCGGGGCGCGGCCGGGGAGCCGGGCGCTGGCGGGTCGCCGCGCGGGCCGAGACTTCCGCGCGGCGCGGGGCCTCCCGGGAGCGCGCGCGTCTGTCGCCTAGGCGACGCCGGCGGGGGCGGGGCCGAGCGGCGGGGCCCCGCCCCCGGCGGCCGCGCCCCGCCCCGGCAGTGCTGCGGCGGGCGCTCGGGCGCGCGCTCGGGCGGGGGGGGCGCGAGGGGCGGGGCGGGGCGGGGCGGGCGGCACTGCGGGCCGCGGCGGCGGCTCGGGCGGCTCGGAGGCTCCGGCGCCGGGCGCTCCCGCTCGCCCTCCGTCCGCGCCGGCCCGCGGGGCCCCTGCGCGGGGCCGCTGTCCTCCGCGGCGCCGGGGCGCGCGGGCGCGGGGGCGCGGGGCGCGGGTCTATGTCGCGGGCGGCGGCGGCCGGCGGGGACGATGCGCGAGTACAAAGTGGTGGTGCTGGGCTCGGGCGGGGTCGGCAAGTCCGCCCTGACCGTGCAGTTCGTGACCGGCACGTTCATCGAGAAGTACGACCCCACGATCGAGGACTTCTACCGCAAGGAGATCGAGGTGGACTCGTCGCCGTCGGTGCTGGAGATCCTGGACACGGCGGGCACCGAGCAGTTCGCGTCCATGCGGGACCTGTACATCAAGAACGGCCAGGGCTTCATCCTGGTGTACAGCCTGGTCAACCAGCAGAGCTTCCAGGACATCAAGCCCATGCGGGACCAGATCATCCGCGTCAAGCGGTGAGGCGGGGCGCGGGGGCCGGGGCGCGGGGGGCGCGCGGGGGGCGCGGGCGCGGCCGGGTCTGGGGGCGAGGCCGGGCCCCCCCGCCCGCGCCCCCCGCCGCGCCCCCGGGGCGCCCAGGGGGGCGCTTTGTTCCGCGCCGCACCTTGGGCACCCCCGGAGCTGGGGCGCAGCCCTTTGTCTCGCGGAGGGTCTCGGGGCGCCGGCGCGGAGCCCCCCGAGGAACAAAGTTTCAAACTTGCGGCGGGGGCCGGCGGGCGGGGGGGCGCCCCCTGGGCCGCCCGAGCCGCGCGGAGACGGGGAGTCCGGGGGGCGCCGCCCTCGTGCCTGCGCCGCGCCCGGCGCCCTGCAGAGACGGGCTCCCGGGGGCGGGGGGTTTGGGGGGCTTTAGGGACAGATCGTCAGGTTCTGGGAGACGCCACCGCGGCCCGAGGGGGCTGGGAAGGGTGGGAGCGGGTGGAGGCGCTGCCGGCGATGCCGCTCACATGAAAAAAGGAGGCTCTGGTTTTTTTCAAATCTTGCGGGGTGCTGGGGGGCACCCCGGGGAAAAGGCATTCATGGACACCAGACAAGTTTCCCCAGAGGTGTGGCTCGGGTGTCAGCCCACGTAAACTCGATGCAGAGAAGCTCGCTCTGGGTAGAAACTCTTTTCTATAATATGCCTTTTGGAAATCGGCCTTCAATGGCTTAAAATGTTTGTTTGCTCCAAAATTGACTCTTTTCCCAGTGACTTCGGGCAGCAAAGGTGCAGGGGTCTCCCAGGGGTCTCTCAGTTGAAAGTTTTCAGCCAAGTTTCCTAATTACTGTTTCATCAGGCATTGCTGTTTTCTCTGGTTCCTCTTAATTGTGGCTCATAATTTTGATGAAGTGTCATTTTCTTCTTCCTGTCGACTCCTGTCCATGATCCTCACGTGGGAGGCGGTACTGAAAGGTGGTTGTCCACGCCATGGAGACACAATCGCAGTGTAGGTCAGTGGGAGGCTACTCCTTGCGGGAAGAGCACATGTACTCAAGGGCTTGCAGAAGCTCCCCGCAAGTGGTGTATTTTTAATGCAACATGGGACGTCAAAAGGGAGGGCCTCTCTCCCTACCTCACCCCCAAATATTCACTTTAATAGCAACCTCGTATGTTATTGCTTCCATCATGGTTCAGGCTAGAGGCAATGAGTATTTTCATGGTCTCTCTCACAGTTCTGAGATCTGTGAAGCCGCTGGCTTTTTCTTCCCCAATCTCAATTTCTTAAAGATGACAAATGATCAAGTTTGGTGTTTTAAATGTGTCTATGAAATTTAAAGGGGATTTAAGTGACTCAAATCCTTCATTACTACTTCCCTCTTCCTCCATAATACTGGAAAACCAACCAACCCAGGTGTAGAACAGGACACGTCAGTGTCTTGTCACTTGTCAGCCTACATATACACCAAATAGTAAAGGAAATGCCCCACCTTTCACATTTAATTATGTACATCTGATACCTGCAGTGATAAAGTCACATATCCAGGGCAAACTCTTGACACAAGCCAAGGGTCAGAATATGGCACCATCTCACTGGATAGTATAGGCCATGTGAGTTAGTGCAGATTACTAATAATGCCGTAGTCTGAACTTCATGTATTGGAACAACTTATTTGTTTGCACTGAGATCCAGAGGGGGGGAAAAAAGTTAAGCGTTTACTTCCCCAGTTGTGACTCACTCATCTCAGTTCTTACTGTAAAAAGACCTTGATCAGCAAAAGAGTTTGTAAATTTTTTGCACCAGAATTCAGCCAGTTGGGCACTTCTGTGTCTTGATATTTTATACCTCACCCTGACTTCATGATGTGACCTTCTAGCCTCTGGCATATGATAAATAACTTACATGGAAAGAAAGAGCATCTGTAGGTAATATGTAGATAATACTTTAAATAAAGCATATATTATGCTAATGCAGGGATCCAGTGTGTGAGTTTTTTTTAACTCCTCCCTCTTAAAGGGAATAAAACATGATTTTCAAATGAGGGAATTTTCTGTTTCTTGCTGTCAATTTTTAAATTAACTAGTTGCTATAGGGAATATTCTTCACTGATTGTCCCCTCCCCTCTGGCTGCCTGCTGCCTTATATATTATATACAGCAGTTGTTGACAGTATTTACTATCACCATAGTGCACATGATGTAAGTGAAGTACAGAGAGTTTGGTATCTTGCCCAAAACCGTCATGGAGGGATAAGATATTTAAAGCAAGACCTGTGTGAATCCATGCACTTACTTTTTTCTACATCTGGCTTTCTCTCAGCTTGGTTTTTCCTGGCAAATAGCTGGCCTTTGCTTTAAGGCAGCATACTAATACAATGTGAGCTACAAGTATAAATTTCATATTTTATAGTAGCTGACTCTTAAACTAGGTAACATTCATTTTAATAATGCATGTGATTGTCATTTCAGCATGTAATTAATTTTTAAAAATTATTGAGACATGTTAATTTGTTTTTCATACTAAGTTTTCAGCGCCTGGCATGCAATTTATACTTAAGGCACAGTGCGTCTCACTTTAGACTAGCCACATTTCAAATGTTCAGTAGCCAGTTGTCTTCCCTAGACTGACAGCACATGACTAAGGTGCATGTGTTTGGGGTAAATGCTTCTCTAAACCTCAGTTTCCTTGTCTGTGAAATAGAGTATAGCATGCACCTCTCAAGCTTCGTTAGGATTCAATGAGATCATCTATTTTAAGATTGCCTGGCACAATATCTTGAGCACAGAAATTGCTCAAAAAAATTCTACCTATCCTTTTATTCATAATAAATCTGTCACCCTACCTGCCTTACATTTTCCTTGCTATAAATGCAATTTTGGAGGAAATGCATTTGTGATTGCATTTTTTTTTTTTCTATTTCATTACTTCGTAAAGGCAAGATACCACTAAAACAACCCTTGGAAAAATTGTGCTGGTTGTCTCTGAAAATATTTTCCTACTAAAGATATATGGAAAGAGGCAGGAGAATGCACATGGAAGTTTAGCGCTAATGCGTGGCTAGACAGCGAGATGGAGATTTTCATTGGATTGTAATTGTGTGGAACCGTCACTTTTACAAAATACTTGAGACCTGTACTCACTCCCCTTAGTGTTTATAGGTGCACACATGTCCATGCACAGTTGTAATCGCCTGTCAAAGCCCAGTGGACCCACCAAAGATGGCTGTATGTAGCAATTCATGTGCTTGCTTTGAAAACTTGACTTTGGAGGAGATCACATGTCCAAGGAAGAATGATAGGAATATAGAAAATGTTTCAGTTGAAATAAGACTAGAATTCTGATCCCATAACTGCTTCTTTCACCCCTCCCAGGGTAAACCGTGTCCTGACTTGAAATATCTTGGCAAAACTATCCAGGGCCCTATTGTTCTTAGGTTAAAGCCCAGAAATCTTCAACATTACCTTCCAGGGCCTAGTGTGCTCTGGCCCTCCCTCCCTGCCTTGCCACCCCCTCTTCCCCCCACCCATTGGATTCCAGCATCCAGACCCTTCTTGAATTCCTTGGAAGGGCCTTCCTAGGCTGGAAATCACCTCCTTTTTGCAGAGTAAATGGCCACCACAAAGATATCCCCCTCAGGGAAGCCTCCCTCTTCTCAACCTAAATTCATGCCTTCCTGTGTTCCCACACTAGATTAACTTTATGCCTCAACCAGGAATATTTCAGACATCACTGGCCCCCTGTACTTCCCCTTTCTTGTAGTGCTCAGCGAAGTTTGTGTAATAATGGACATGCACTCGCTCTTTCTCACCAGCTCTAACCCCATGTGTCTAGACAGCTCCTGGGACAAAGGAAGCAATTAAGAAAAATATATTGAAAAATAAAAAAACAACTAGTGTCCAGAAAGAACAGTACTTTTAATTCCCCTGGCTTTGGTTTCCCCAGACATTTTAATTTCATAGATGGAAGGGGGGAGCTTCAAAGCTCACTTTGCAGATGGAGTAGTAGTAGATGATCTGCCTTCAGCTCTAACATTCTGTGAGAGTGCGTCTGTCTAGTCATGGTGACCCGGGAAGAGACGAAGTTTACTAGGAACCTGAAAGACTCAAGGAGCAGGCTGCCTTGTGGATGGAGGAAATGACACAGACATGCAGAGAATATGCTTGTTGGGGGCCTCCCCTGGTGGTGCAGCGGTTGAGCACTAGATTGCAAAGCTACCCACAGCCTTTGCAGCTCTGGTTCGATCCCCGGCCACCGATGAGGGCCCCACATGGCACACAGACCTCTCCTGCCGCCCGCTGCTCCCCTCAGCAGTGTACTGCATCTGTCTGCCTGTTCTGTTCCCTGCTCTGGCTCTGGTGAATTCTCTCACCCTCTCGTACTTCTGACTGTACCCAGTGCTTGTATTAATAAATAAATAAATATTTTAAAAAAAGAAAAAAGAAAAAAAAAAGAACATGCTTGGTTATTAAATAGACCAGGTTGGGTGAACTAGGAATTCATTTAGAAGTGTGAGAGGATGTAAATACAAAGCTGAATTACGGAGGGTTAAAAGACTTGATGGTGTAGTCAAGGACCATGATCAAAATTGTTAGAGACATAGCAGTGTGGAGTAGTATGACAAGTGGCTTGGTAGCCATAGACCAGAGGAAGGAAGGCTTGTGAAATATTGTGACAATCTATTTCTATGTGAAGTTGAAAGAGTTCACATTAGCAGGGTAGAAACAGAAGGAATGGATGCAAATAATTTTGTAAAGAATAAATTACACAAACGTAGTGGGAGAGCGGAAGGGTCAGATATATCCTTGACATTTTTGAACATGAATGAACAGGATTGTAGAAGAACGGCTGGAGATTATTTCCCTTTTGGAAGCGGTGCTCATCCAGATAGAAGAACCTAATAAGTAATTAGGATATTTGAATAAAGCCTGAAAGGTCCATTTATATATGAATACAGTCAAGATCATCTGCTTAGTTCAGATTGGGAGAGTGCATGAAACCTACTGGGTTGGTATAAAGAGAAATGAGTGACTATGGCCAGTGATA